TAAAGATTGAAAAAATTCTTTTGGGATGCATTGGCATATACTATTAATTTTAATACAAAAAAGTATAGTTGAGAGTATACTTCCTTGGGGGATTCCCATTTCTATGTATTTATAGTTTGAAGTTTCGTTATTAATTTTAACCCTAAATCGTCTATTGTTAATAAATTTGGATATGGATATAGGCAGTCGACCTCTAAGTCCTGCATCATATAGATCATTAACAATCCCATATCGCCATGTTTTGTCATAGGCTTTTTCTACATCAAAAAATATTACTACTACTTGTTCATTACATATAAGAGCTTCTCTGATGTAGGTTTTTAAGGATATTAGATGGTCAATTGTGCTTCTATCTTTTTTACCTCCACATTGAATAATTGTTATTGTGTTATTTATATTTAGATGCAACCTATTTAATAATATTTTTTCAAAGACTTTACAGAGGGTATTTGTTAGTGAGATAGGTCTATAATTGTCAGGATTGGTTTTTGATTTACCAGATTTAGGTATTGGCAATACTAATGCCTTTTGCCAATTATTAGGAACGTCAGCTTGTGTCCAAATAAGATTGAATGCTTTTTCCAATGCTTGTAGAATAATAAAGGGTAGTTTTTTAAGAGTATTATATGTTATTTGGTCTGGACCAGGAGCAGAATTTTTGCTGGAGGTTACGGCATGATCTATTTCTGACAATGTTATTAGGTCATTATATGGCTTACTATTTGTTGAATTAAAGTCTGGTATGATATTTTCTTTCATTTTCATATAATTTATAGATTCTGTTTGATGATTTATTAGAGAAGAGTTTTCTTTAAATTGATTTCCTAGTAGTTCTGTAATTTCTTTTAAAGTTTCATTTGTTTTATTTTCATATTGTAGTATTTTTATTAGTAATAGTTATTTTATCTTGACATAAAGTTTCAATTGTTTTCCAATCAGTTCGATTAGTGTTATATTTTATTTTTGTTACAATGTTTTAGTTTGAGATAATGTATGTTAGAACTATTGGAGAGTGATCGATGTTGTGAAAGTCATCATCTTTATGCCATGTTACATGTCTGTAAATATTGGGAGAGGCCATGTATTTGTTTGTATGTGATAGGCATGTGTAGGCAATAATGGGTAGACATGTGTTGTTTAATTAAACATATATTTGAGTGTACAATAAAATGTTCTAATTCCTTGCCTAATGTGTTAGTTTTGTTGTCACCCCAAAGTATGTTTCTTGCATTGAAATTACCTAATATCATCATTGGCATTGGGATAGATTTAATAATGTTTTCAAGTTTATCACCTATTTTTGTATTAGGAGGATTATAATAGTTACAAATGGTTAAAGGAATGTCTAAGGTAATTCTAACAGCTATCGAATAAATTGAGTTTATATTTATTTGTGATTGGATAAGAGAATGATGTATATAGATAGAAAGTCCTCCTTTTGGGTTTGTATTTGTCGGGGTAGCATTTAAATGGTATGAACAGAAGTTTGTAATTTAAATTTGTCTGTTTTTAATTATTTTATTTTTCTGTAAGCATATGATATGAGGGTTGTATTTTTACATAAGTAAAAATAATTCTGGTAAGTTACATTTTGTACCTCTTATGTTCCATTGTAATATATTAATTTCATGGTTACTTAAATGTCATTTTTTTGGTTTTATATGAGATTTGTTCTTAGTATATTGTTTGGGAAGTTGTGTCTTTAAATCTTAAATCTTCATCACTTTCCATCTCAGTGTCATCTGATGGGAGAGCATATACATTGGGTGCACATGTTTTTTGGTTATCATGCATGTTGTTTAATTGAATACATCTAAAACATTACATGTTGTTTTATCTATCTGAAGGTTCTTGTTTGAGTTTTTTTAGTACTGGGACGTTTAATAAATTGCATTGGATACCAATGTCTGTAGTTATTTTTGTTGTTTTAAGTTGTACTATGCTAGCATATGTTGGTTTATCTTTTGATGTTGTTAAAATTTTGGCTTGTTTGTAGGTTATCCCTTTTATGATTTTTGTTTCAATTGTTTTTTTTTCAATTTTGTAGGTTGGACAAGATTTATCAAATGATGGGTGGGCTTGTCCACAATGAAAACATTTAGGATTATTTTTACATGGATTTTTCCATGAGTGCTTATGACCGGTTTCACCACAATAAGCACATATAACTGATTTATTTTTACAAAATTTGTGGAAATGGCCAAATTTTTGACATCGAGTACATCTAATGGGTGGGGGAGTGTATTTCTCAACTTTTACTTTAGAATAGCATATTTTAATTTCTGTAGGAAGTTGGGATAATTAAAAAGTAATAATGTAGGTATTAGTATTTATTTCTTTATTTTTAAATATTTTTATATTTTTAACATCAATTACTCCCTCTTTACACAACTCATCCTTTATTTCTTCCTCTGAACAATTTTTCAGAATGCTTGTTTTAATCACCCCTTTTACCACATTTGTTTTATTATCAATGTAAGTCTTTATATTACAATCAAACATTCTGTTAATATTTTCTATTTTATCCCTTTGGTTTTCATTGTTAATTTTAATTAATACTTTTTTGGGAAAAATTTTAGTTATTTCTACATCACCTCTACATTGTTTGTAAAAAATTTATGTATTTGAAAAATTGAAATTTTTGAAAACATATTTTCTTTTTCAGCCTTAACTACATAATTTTAAGGACAAGGAATGTCAGAGTGATCTTCTGACACTCTTTGTCTCTTTCTTTCTGACATGGTCAAAGAAGAAAAAAAATTTCTCCAATTGAAAACTGCAGCAGTAGGCTGCCCAGCCTATTGGCGGGAGCTTAAAAAAAACTAACCTCTCTTTTACTTATAAATAAAGTTTTTACGAAAATTATAAAATTAATTTAATAATAATACAAAAAATAACTTATAATGATAATAATTTGGAATAAAATTTGGATAAATGTTTAAAAAAATTTAGAGAAAATTTAAATTTGAGTAAACAAACAAACGCGGTAACCAAAGACCAAGTTGTTTAAAAACTGTCAGCAAATAACAGTCTTGTACCGCAAGTTTAACCCAATTTTATGAATATAGAAAACAAATATTACTTGGTAAATTATTCTAGGAGTCGCCATCTTTTTCAAGAAAATTCTAGCAAAAAGGTTGAGCAAAATTTACGACTGTCATCTTGATAAAACCTTTTTTAGTTGATAAAGTCTTCCACCGTTGTGACCACAGCAATGGACAACTACCTCCACCATGTTGCGGTTGCGTTTGATGTTTGAGAGAGCACCGAACCAGGAAGAGCAGTGAGCGGGAGAGGAAAAGAATAGTATTCGTTTGGATAGGTTGGACACTTTTTTCGTCCCTACGGGGACTCACCAGCAGCCCGAATACCTTTCAATAATTGTCGCAGTTTCTTATATAGTTCGCACAAATCACCTTGTTAGCTCGTGATGTTTTATTTATTATTGGAAATTGTTAGTTTTTTAGTCGTTATGATTTCATTCCGACAACCATATGCACAATGCAACATAATTAACAAAAAACGCATCCATTTCAACGTTTAAGTCCGGTGGTAAAGTTCTGTTCATTATATAGACATATAGGTAAGTTATAAAGGAAAGGTTTATAAACTAATACTTATGCACCTACTTAGATTAGAATACCAGTAAAATACCAAAAGTCAAAGTCAAAAACACCAGTGAAAAACCTCGGTATGTAGGTACGCACATTAATATTTAATAACGAATATGTAAGTGGCTAACATGGAATTATATATAATTCAATGGTGGCTAATAACAAAAATATTTATGCAAAAACAACTGAAAATAACAATTGAATATTTAACTCAGTTAATTTTATGAAATAAAATTAAACGATATCAGGAGGAATATTTAGGGAATATTCGTAACGATTAAAAATCCTTCTCGAATTAAACCTGAAGTTTACTTTTCATCGCAGGTTCGGAGGCTGGTCTAATCAAAGTATGGCGCAGATTTTAAAAATTGTTAAATTCTTCTAAAATTGACTCGACTTTTTATTTTAAGTTCTATTTTTCATAAAATATAGCATAATAAATTTATTTAATTTAATAAAATTAATCAATTAAATTTAATAAATTGTTTATAAAATATAGCATAAAATATAAATTAATAAATGTCAGTCACTTGTTAGTTTTTAGATTTAGTTTTAACTGTTAGGTGAAACTTTTGCGAAACACTTTCTTATTAAAAATTAAATTAAAATATTAAATAATAAAATAAAATAATTTTACTATTTAATTAATTATAATTTTTAATTAATGTTAAAAGTTTAATCTCTAAATGTTAAGAAAGCCTAAAAATCTGGAGCTCTTTTCTTTCCATGCTAGTTGTCTGTCTTTCTTCAGTTCTGTATACCTAGCAAGTGGAAGTTACATTTAGTTAGAGATTTAGTAGTAGCTGTTACTCTAAGCCTGACAAGTTTTGTAACTCATTTCAATAAATGTATAAAATAAAATTACAAACGTCATTAAATTTTAAATCTCAAAAGCAAGACTTTTAAATTAATTTGAACTTCCTGAGTGTCAAAAAATAAGTGTTTTTAAAATCTAAAAATAACCAGCAAGGTTTGAAAATTAAACCAAACCAGAATAAGTAAACATTTCATTCACTTAAAAAATATTTATTCATTTTTTATTGTAAATCATTATGTAATGTAATGTAATGTGATTATTTGTTTTATATCTGTCAAACATTTTTTATTTACTAACTTCAATTAAAATTTGGTGTTACAAAAATATTCAAAAATTAGTAGAATTATTAATGTTGAACACATCTGAGAATTGAAAATAGTTTAATCACTTGGGTACACCAAATTAAGAAAAGATGATAGCTTTTATTCAGTTTATACTGTCCATGTTTAATTAAAAGTAAAATTATTAGCCTTATAATTTCATCTCAAATTAAGGTTTAACTCATTTAATATTTAATTATATTGTTTCTTAGATGGATAGTGTAATGTTAACTAATTAACTATTTCAAGGAAATGCAAATATGGCAGAGGATAGCAGAGTTCCGTTGTTTAATTCTCCCACATCATTGAATGCTCCAGGCACTGCATTTACTCCACCAAAGTTGTTGAATGTGCCAGAGTACGGCCACTCAACTGACACTCTCAACAATGACAACTGTTGTGGATGCAGTCGTTGGTCTTGCTCCATGAAAAAGAAGAACAACAGCAGAGCTAACAACAGACCATCACTACAACTACAACAGAATGTTAGGAAAGATTTATTTTCAACTGGTCTCAGACTGGATAGTCTTACACTGGCTGGTCCCACACCGACTGATGAGGATGTAACCACTCCAGCTCCTAAGGGTCGAATTCAAAGTAGAGCAGACCACATGAGTAAGAACAACAACAGTGAAGCTTCCTCATTATCTTCATACTCAACTAACACTGACTTAGATCTGGCCACAGCAAATATAGACTTCATTAATTATTACTTTGAAAACCAAAAATCTCAGGAATCAGATACTCCTTATTGTAACATTAATAACACTAACATTCGCAATTGTAATAATACTGAAATCTCGCTTCGAGCAGACAGGACATTAGTAAACCTAAGAGTTCCTAATTATGAATCGACAGTTCCTGCAAACTCGCCATCAACAAGTTTTCGGGGAGCACCGAGTGACATTTCACCAAACACTGATTCACTACTTTCATCCGAAACTGATGATGGCTCGGAAAATATCGCAGGTAATAATTTATACGATAGTTCCCCAAACATCAACAACAGTAATAAAAATAGAAAAACTATTATAAGCCACAAGAAGATTGTCGCGACTGGCATTAAAATAAAAAAGAAAACTTCCCTTTTCAGAAATAACAGTCAAAAAATCAAGGTAAAAAAAAATTCTACGCCTAAAAGTAGTGCAAAAAAAATTCAAAGCAGTAAATTTAAAAAGGCTTCAAAATGTGGTAAGAAAATCATAAATAGGATAATCCACAGTCGAAGTGGCAGTTCAGCTGAGGAAGCAGTTAATCCGCCCATCCCTATCATCGAGAGGTCGTCTGAAAAAGTGTCACTATGGTTACAACAAATGAGTAGACAGCAAGAGTTGCCTCAAATACCCGAACAACATCAGCAGCTACCACAACATCAGCAGCAACCACAACATCAGCAGCTACCACAACATCAGCAGCAACCACAACATCAGCAGCAACCACAACATCAGCAGCAACAGAAACAGAATCCTGGCTATGCACAACAACAGCAGCAAAAACAAAAGGACACTAAAAAAAGACTTCATCATGAGGAAAAACAAACAGAACAATGTAATCTATATGAAAACATAAACTTATATAGAACAGATAACAAAATGGCACCTACTCTTCAGACTTACGATGAAAGTTATATTCTACAAAAAACAGTTCAGACACCAGGCCTGCAACAACGACTGCAGAAACAACACGAAGAACAACGACGAATCGTCACTTCTGTTCTGTCGAACCCAACACAGGCATGCCACTTTCTTCATCCCCGCCATCCACTTCGTCCTAATCCTCCATCTTATCAGTTCGCGGCTGCTGCATATCCCTATTTAGGCCATAGTCAACTGCAGCAACGGCAGCAGCTGCAACATTTCTTGCAATGTCAGCAGCAACTACAGCAACCGCACTATGCTCGCCAATTCAATGCGCAACATCATTACAACAAGTCAACTTCACTCTTTAAAACTTATAATAATAATTTCCAAGTCATAAATAATAGTAATTACATTAATAATTTTCAAAAACATTTTAATTATGACGACAACTATGATAACGATGGTGATTTAAATGATGAAACACAAATAAATACGGATGCCATGGACAGTGATTCATTCCTGGACAGCACCCTGCATTTCAACAGTCTTGCTGATGGTGATGATGACGATGATGGTGGCGGTCGTCTCAATGGTGCTAATGTTTATAATGGCTACCGTCAATCCTTAACGAATGACCTAAGAAATTTTCAATGCACTACAAACTTCAGAAAAAACAAGAAAAAATTCTTGGAGCGATTTCCATCACCTAATTTAAGTAGCAAGTATAAGATCATTGGTGACAAAAACATTAAAATCGACGACGATGACGACGACTACAGCGATGGCGATGATAACGTCCTGGATATTAGCATGATCGAGCACGACCCCAGCAACGGTTTCCACAACAACGTGACTCTCATCTCAACGACGACGCCGAACGATAGCCACAGTAGCGAGTATGCAGCCGCAGCAGCAAGCAGCAGCAGCAACAACAACAGCAGGAACCAGAATCGTCACAACAGCACCAGTTTCCATCCACGCAAACAACATCAACATCACTTGACTCGTCAGAGATCGTACTGCAACCACAAATACCGTCGCAGGTACAACCATCTTAACCATAGTAAAACTTCATCTAGGGGTGCCACCAAAAGACAAGTTAGGAGACCTGATCTTCAGCTGCAAATGTCAGATCGACTTTCTGGAGTTTATCCTTCTCTTCTTACTAACAATAACATCATCATCAACAATAACATCATCAACAACCATAACAGCATCTACAACTTCGGCAATGATGAGAGTAGCATCTATGTTAACAACAATATCCTTGCCAACAGCGATGACAATAATTATGTTAACATTGATAACTCTCATGTGTGCAACGTCAGTGGTAATGTGGTAAGTAGTAGCGGCAGCGGAAGTAGAAACGGTGGCGGTATCCGCAGCAGCCACAGAAGCCAGAGGAATAGCAACAACAACGGCAAAAATACGTCAAAAACGGCAACAAATAGGAGACTAGTCTCGAAGCGTTTAGTTCAGGTGAGTAGGTACCTGAAGAGAAAAAGTAGGATGAGTCGAAGGGACATTATGTCGTCTTCACTAACGTCTGTATCCAAAGACGTCAAAACACTGGCTGTTTTTTAGAGTTGTTTATCAGTTAGTGACTAGGAATTATGGTTCGTGTTGATTAGTGATTAGATTTCATTGCTTAGAAGGATTGAATTTTCGACAATTACTTTTTATATTTGGATATATATATATATATATATATATATATATATATATATATATATATATATATATATATATAAATTGGCTTTTTTTAAATTCAAAAATATGATTTCAATCGTGAAGAAATGTGGATATTATCCCATCATGTGGTGAATGTACGCCATCACATTAAGTTATACAACTTTTATTGTATATGCGTGCACAACGGATGAGATCTAATTTTATATTCTGTACTTTTAACTTCTATTTAGTTTTAACTTATTTTTTCCGTACTCCGGCTTCTATGACGTCACCATCATCATCATCATTATTGTCGTTATTGTTATTATTGTCGGCTTCTATGACGTCACCATCATCATCATTGTCATTATTATTATTCTATATTCCAACATGATTGTTGTAGTTACTGAGTAAATTTTTTATTTTCAATGATGACGAGAAAGATGATGATGTGATCCTGATTATAGTCATGCTCAATTTAACTTGCTACCTATCCGTTATACTATACATTAATGTGTTTTACGGTATGTCATGATATATTTTATTAAATAAATAAATTATTTATATATGATAATAATTTGCAAATATTTATTTAGAATATAATAAAGTTAAACGGATTGACTTTGAGATTTAAATACATTTACAAACACGTATATATATATGTGTGTGTGTATGTTTGTGCGTGTTTGTGTATAATAAGCATCTTCTATATCATTGAAGGTAGTATAAAAACAGTTGAACGGTTTAAAGCCGTATTAATCTTTATTATCACCATACACAATGGTATAATTTTCTTCTACGTATGTATGCATATGCATATAATATGTGCCGTTCATATAACGAACTAATACAAAAGTCTTGTCTGATATTACTGTTACATTATTATTTAATATATTTGTTTGATCTCAGTTTATCTAAAATTATTTTTTTTTATTTATTATTTATTTATTTTTATTCATAAACATTTTTATTTGTATTTGTATAATTTTTTTCCTATTATTTTTTTTAGATTGTTTCATTTTTTTATTACCAATACGTAGTGTACATAGCAGCATATTTTGTATGTGTGTGTTTACAAAAGCCTCTGTTACAATTTCATATCACACATCTTGGTCATGACAATACAATTAGCAGCAATAAATATTGGTTATTAACATTTTTTATCAAGGAAATTTATTTTTTATCAATTTACTTTTGTATTTTTTTAAATTAAATGTTAACTATAATTCCGCTTTCTTCATTTGAACAGAAATATGACAATCTATTTTTATGAAAATTGATAAATTCATTATATGTGTTTGAGTATTTTATGTTTAAATTTTCAGTAAGTTAGAGCTATGTATATCTTGTCCGTATATATTAATTCTAGGATTAATATATGTAAGCTATTAGTTATAGCTTAGACCGTTTTTGAAGTTATTACTGCTACAAACATTTATTCATTAACTGCAGGAATTAAAGCTAGCTAATGTAACCAAGTTACGTTAAAATTAGTTAATTTCTATGGAATTTTACCAGTAATAAAGACGCGTGAAATTGTTTTTCCAATTGCATCGACCTTATAAATGCTTCTAAAATGAACTTAAGCTTCTTTTGCCAAATATTTGGCTTCAAGACTATTCATTATTTTGAAAAATCAAGCAAAACGGGTGGTTATATTTTATAACAAAAGCAACGTGCCTCAATTTTACTAAACAGTTTTTAGTGCCAAATTGATGGCTTGAGATGACGAAAAACAAGGTTCAGACTGTATAAAATATATTATTGTCTTTTTATTAACTTTATTGCAACTCTATGTTTACCATAAAATTTGATTGATAACGCCAAAATAATAAGAATGATTGAACCCTAATTGAACAATTAAACCAGCCCCTCTAAAATGTACTCAATTGCAGTGGCGAGCATTTTAGATTAAATAGGATTTTATAATTATTTCATTATTAATATTTGGTATTTGGAGTTAGAAAATAAAAGGTTCCCTAGATCGCTCAGTTTACTTTTTCAAATATAGTATTATTATATAAAACATCAAGGTCTGGCTCGGAAATGACGGTTTTGCTTTCGTCAGTTGTGTAGTTGGCAACTTGAAAGTACTTGCTATTAAAACAAAAACGGAGCAACAATTGAAACAATCACCACCAGCATGCCAGCTCCTAAAAATCGACTGGTCGTATAAAGTGCAATGAAAAAAGACTAAATTTTCAATGTTAATTATATTTTTATCATACTGACGTAAATCAAAAATTACAACAAAAATAAGACTGTACAAATATATACAACGACAGAGTTAAGTTATTGAAATTCATGATTTCTGAAGCTTCAGTTTTGACTTGGAAGATTTTTTATTTTTTCCTTTCTTTGTTTTTTCCTGTTGTGAATTTATGGTTTAACAAAAATGTATAAAGGCGAACAATGCGAACAATTGTGTGTGAAAATATTTGCTCAAACAGTCGCTCATTTTAAACGGTCCCAGATGAAAAAAGTGACATAGTTGAAAAAATGAGCTAGAAAAAACCAAACGCGAATTATACTTCATGATTTTTAATGAATATGAAAACGAGCAAGAATGTTAAGTTGAAATGAAGAAAGAATAGGAACCTTTTCTTTCAGGTGCACGTCTGTTAGTGACTTGTGGAGTGATTCCTTCTGCAAATGTAAAAAAATATGAAAAAAAATCCCACTGAAACGTAAAATGCATATGACGAAACAAAAAAAACGATTTGTCCATATTTGAAAATTATTACATGCGTGACATATATGCACATAATAAGCAATAAATTTAAAACAATTCAATCCTCATTTGTAAACAGAGCTAAAACTGCAAAGCTACAAATATAACAACTGTGGACAGATGGATATTTGCACAGACAAAAAGACAGACCTTTTCAAGTTTTATTTTTTTGATCCTCTGCTTCTCTTCCTTCTCGAGTCGGATGTGGTGCTGCCTCTTCTTTCTGGCTCGTAGGTCACTCTTTTTGTTCGTTTTCGTTCTTTCAGTGGAGCCAATCAACTTCTTTGACTTATCCTGATTCAGAAAATTCAAACATATGCATAAAGTAAAATGAGTTTATAATGAGAACATACAGGAAATGAATATAAAACCCCCTAGGTACATAAAACCCGAACATTGAGGTATAAACTGAGTATCATGTAACAAAAAATATTCGCATAATATTTCTGTTAAATATAATATAACTCAAAAGCAAACATCAACATAGATATTATTAAGTTAAGATTCTAACACCCATCAGCACATATACTGAACAAAGGAGCCAGGATTACGACACACGCAAACATAAAAAAGTATAATCACATCAAAAAAAATGCATAGATGTACAAACCTAAATAGGTTAGACAACGGTGCAAGAAGGAGTCAAATAACATCAGAGCAGCAGGCCATAAACATATACATTAAAAATATATTGTGGCTATAGATAGAATACATAAAAAGCTAAGAACAAACTTTTAGTCCTAGTATAGTTTTAGTTTAGTTAGTTATTGTACAGATAGATAACATAGAAGCATAAACAGCCAGACAGAGAAACAACGTTTCAATAAAAACATAAATAAAATAAAAACATAAATAAAAAAACTCAATATAAAACACAAAAAATAGATAAGAAACACAAATGTAAAGAATTTTGGGCAGGTATACAAAACATAAACGAAACGCAAAGATAAAGAACTTTCGGACAAAACATAAATACGAAATACAAAGATGAAAAAATACATACTGCGATTTCTTCGGGGGCGAGCAACATGGCCTCGCTGACAGCCGTCGGGGCTACCTCCTCCATCGTGATCGCCGCGTTGTTCGCCACTATCTCCACTTCCGGCATTGACTGATTGACGATAGAAATAAAAGAATAAAAATTATTTTCGTCTGATTGATGGAGGAAATCTAAATTATTTTTAAAAAACAGCAATCATTAATATTAAAAGACCGTCTAAACGTTACCTTAGCAAATATTATTATTATTCACTGTCATAAACATAATATAAATAATAATTATAATAATACTTGTAATATTAACAACATTAACAACAACAAAAATAACAATAATTACATTAGCAATAAAAATCGCAACAATAAAAACAATAACAAATATAATTGGCAATAATAATAACAATAATAATAATAATAACAATAATAATCATAATGAGAACATCTTTTATTTTTTCATAAAAACATAAGTGGATGAAAAAAAAAAGTTTAATAAAAGGGTACAAAAAATATAATAAAATAAATGTGTGTGTGTGTATGTATGTTTGTATGTATGTATGTGTGTATGTATGTATGTGTGTATGTATGTAGGTATGTATATGTGTGTGTGTAAGTATAACAATAATAATAATAATTATTATTATTAGAACAAACTGATGACAATAAATTATAACAAAGTGATGACACGCAGTACAGACTGGTTTCGGAGTGAAATGGAAATTGCAGAGGGCATCCAGTTTTCTGAAGAGGGCAGCCATGGACTGCTTGATCTCCTCTATCTCCAGTGGCACTTTTTCCTCTTTTTTCTGAACCACAAAATAAAGTTAATCTTTCCAAATTCGTTATTTTCAAACAGATAAAAAATAAAAAGATTACAAATCAGCATGAAAATAGTACAGAAAAGAGTGTAACTCACTCTCAAACTAGTTTATGTACCCCAAATGTCAATCAATCATCTCCATTAATAAAAAAAAACTATTGAACATGTATAAACCAATAAACTCTGAACCTTAGAAGCAAACTAAACGTCAGTGAATATGCTATGAAATTTTCAGAAGAAAACGAAATTAATCAATAAATGTTCAAGTAAAATTGAATTCTCAATTTATGTAAAAAAAATGCTTAATGATTCAACACCATGCACACACACACACACACGCACACACACACGCGCGCACACACACACACACACACACACACACGCCTAATCAACAAAGTGTAATCTCACACAACATAATTTTTTAAACTTCACGACTTTAATAAACAAAAAATTTCATATACAACGTGAAAAAGAAGTCAAATAAAATTTTTAATAAAAAAAAAAAAAACAGAATACAAATCATCAATGAATAAAGCTGAATATAATTAATCTCTAATGAATATAACCTGGATGGTGTCTAAATATTCCTGTTCGTATATTTTTTCCAATGACATCTCACTCTTTTCATCACTGAGCACAGCTACGGCTTTCTTCAGCTCGAACGTTCGTTCCTTCGTTTTAATTTTCCTCTTCGGTCCATCCCAGATGTTATCCTTCAGCCTCTGCAGTATCTTCTCCTCGATTGTTTTGTTCACCTCCTCTGTTATCACCATTGCTGTGGGGCAGGTGAGGAAAATGATGATGATGATGATCAGGGAATGATGATGATGAAAAAATGATGACAGTGATGAGAATGATGGTGATGAAACACACAACACACATACACATACAAAACATTGGGTAGAACGAATTAACATTGAAGTTGTTGAGTGGACTGTACATGTACAGTTTTTGATAGCAACAAAAAGTTGGAATTGAAGATTGCGGAAAGAAAAAACTAGTCAAAAACATAAAGATGGACATTTTTCTTGGAAAAAAAAACCAAAAAAGATAAATAAAACCAAAAAATAATAAAAATCTACAATTATTGATATTTTCGTAGAAACAAAATTCTATCCAAATTAAACTGAAATTTTTGGATATGCAAAACATATTAATTAATAATTGAATGAATACAAACCTGGCTTGGTAGCAGTATCAAAGTCAAGTACCTCCTGCAAGAGACTGTTGAGAGGGCGTTTGGAGGCCCCAATCTCACCCTTCAACTGCCAGTCCTTCTCCAAAGTTGTCTTCTCCTCTAGTTCATTTATCTTTTTTGACAACTGTAGTAGGGCGAGATCCATACAATTTTACAGCTTATGATTCATCAAGTTTGATAATTTCACCATGAAATAAGATATAATAATATGAAAATGTAAATGAAAGACTTGCAAATGTGTTTATAAGGTCTTGAAAATTAATTACTATCAATTGGATTACAATAGAATAATGTTTAATTTGTATTCTCGAGATGGTGGTTGTTGTTATTTAGAACAATGAACAACAATTTGATATTCAAATGATACGCAATCAACTTAACGATTAGAAATAGAAAAACAAACAAACAAGCAAAACCTTACGTCAATGAAGATTCATGAAAGAAAAAAAAAAGTTTAACATCGACAGTCAAAATAAAAAACTGGATGAGCAACAAGGGAAATCATTATTATCCAAGATAATAATGATGAGTGACAAACAAGAGAGAGGTTTCCAAAAGATTACCATAGAAATTGTACAATCAAGAATTTATTTTAGACCAAACGCTCTGTTTATAAAATAACAATAAGAAAAAAAAACGACTCCACCTCTGAATATGAATAATTCATAAAAAATGAACATACAAACCATTTCCTGCCTTCTTTCAAATGATGACTTCACCATCTGCTTGTTATCACTTTCATCACGAATCAACTCTCTGTTGACATCATTAGCCAGCCTATCCTCCTCCTCCTCCTCATCATCATCATCATCATCTTCCTCCATATCAACATCTTCTTCATCATCTCCTCTTTCACCAAAATCATCAGAAGCCTTATCCAGATCATCACCATCATCATCCATGTTGGCGAAATCGTCAATTGCACTGGGCTTGGGCGGGGCATCGTAGAAGTCATCGTACTTTATGGCGCATCCCTGGTGGGGGAATCAGTACACTATCATTCATTTTGACTGATCTGTTTTAATCGTTTTAATAGGAGATGGCAGTAATAAATGAAAAAATCAAATAGCTTACCTCATCATCGTCGTCGTCATCTTCTTCATCCTCTTCCTCTTCTTCTTTGACAGCCCCACCGTCATCATCATTTTCTCCCAAAACAGAGTTATCATCACCATCCCTTTCATCATCATCCTCATCTTCTTCTTTTTCTTCATCATCATCCTTATCATCACTGTTATTTTCAACAGTTTCATCATCTTCTTTAAAAACTTTCGCATCCTTTTCATCACTTTGAAACTTCACCGACTTTTTAAAATTTTTAACAAAATGCTTCAACCGAGAAGGCCAGGTTTTGTTGACTAATTCGATTTGCTGCCAAACTTGTTCGGCATTAAAGTCATCGAGGAACAGGGTCGGCAAGTAATCTTCGTGTCTGTTGTCATCACCGTCCAGCGCTCGACATACATCATACAAAGATTTGCAACAAGTAAGCTGGTCGTTTGATAAATCTCTGCGAACACTGCGGATAAATAATTTTATTAAGATTTAAATTATATTACTAATAATCTAATCACTAAAAATCCTCACACCAAAAATAAATGTATGCAACAACAGCAGAGACGACTGATGTGAATTTGATGTTGAACATTGCAAAATGTAGAAAAAGAACAAAAACAAAACAATTCAGGACTCAGAATGATTATTAAAACATGGTCAATTTTGAAATCTCAGCTATGGTCAGCTATTAATGCATTATTAAAATAAATAATGCACTTAGTTACAGTAGAGATGTCATCTTCTTAATTGATACTTTAAATTTAAAAAAAAAATACACAATTATTTTATATGCCCACATTTCAATTTCAAATGAATTAATTTAGAATTTTATTATATTACAGTACAGTTATGGTGTAATAATAATAGGCAAAACTTCACATTAGTGCCTCCATGATTTAAGATAATAAGTAAGAGATAGTAGGTTAGATAAGTAGATATGTCTACTCTAAAAGTTACTTGATATTAAGACTGTTAATTATTAAAATTATAAAAAAATATTTATGATTTAGAGTGAAATACAAAAAATAATTGTTAAAAATAAGAAATTAAAATAATTTTTTAATGGTCACCAATTATTTAATAACTTTGTAAGGTTAAAATCGCAATTTCTGTATGCTTTTATTTAATATTTAATGAGAAGATATACATTGTAGGCATAAAAGTAAATGCAAATTCTTGCATGCTTTTGTATGGTAGACATTAAAATAAACTTTATGCAGTTATTTGAAAGTGTTTCAACATGTAAACAAGCTAGTAGGCATTGTAATAAAGTTACAGGTATTTTATTTTAAGCAAGCATTTTAAAACAATTCACCATGTGGGCATTATTAATACATCAAGCATTCCACGCATCAAGACAACTGACAAATTTGAATAAAAGCATTTACGTAATAATTTCTTATTTTATTATATATACAACAACAACACACGTTTAGACAACATTTCCCCGAGATCGGGGGTTGCCGTTTGGCTACCTATGATGAAACCTAAATACCCCTCGACGCCATTCCATCATAAGTAATTTATTTGGCTAATTTTTACACAGGACGCCCTTCCTTATGCAACCACAGTTATAAGCGGTGGGCCTAGCCTTTGATGATCCAACATCACTCACAAGGCAGTGAGGGTCAGTTTAATGTCATAACCAGGACATATATAATTCAATCAATCAATCAATCTTCGTTTTGCGTCCAGAGACCCGGTTTCCTGAGGTAGGACGTACATATATAATTAATCATTTATAATTAAATTTTATTATAAATATAAATTATTCATAATTATTATTTTCTTATTTTACAGCTGTTATAAAAAAAAGAAAATATTGTGTTATGTTCAATTTTAAATCGTTCTTTTCACGTCTTGTGCGCGAATACAATGCTCCATGCTCACTTAACATTGAGCACCACTCTTAACATGGCACAAGTTGAAAGTAAAAATAATTCTTTCAAAATTCGTTTTCTCGATAACTATAAATTCTACAATAATAAATTTAGTATTATTTTATTCAGCAAATTTTGCTTTATAAGAAAAAGTAGTTTATATGAAAAAAAAATTTTTTGAAAAATCATGCGACCTGCTATAAAAGACATAAGTTTACTATTTAACAATGATCCATGAAATCATCTATTAAAATGAATCAAATTAAAAATCGTCACTGAAAATTAAAAAACCAATGAAATAAAACTATAAATATAAAAATTAAAAAACACGTGTCACCGATCCGTCGTCGATCTATCTCATATACACGGACGACAACAAAACAAGCGGTTAAATGGCGATTACTTTTGGTTTAGTACAACCAAACACGAAAAAATAAAACTCTACCTCAAAAAATTATCCAAACAGTTTACATTTTTTTCTATACACCCAATTACTTCGTTGATTTTCTTTTCAAACACTTCCATTTTTCATGCGACCGACGATTTCGGATAAGTTGTTTAAAAGTAAACTTGTACGACGAGCAAAACTAATGGGTGTTGCATTGGCTGCTTGGCTTACTGGCTGATACAATAATATATATAGGCAATTTCTAGCGTTGGATAGTTTTTTAATAAATTTCTCAATATTTCTAATCAAATTTTTGTCGTCAATATTTATTTTGTTAAAGTTAGAATTTTATAAATTTTTCCAACTCATTCTCGAGTGTTTAGGACCTACTTCGATTTTTTAATCATTTTCAGCACTTAATGCAATTTATATAGAAAATTTGTATAACCCAGCACTTGTTGCAGCATGCATGGGAAATTTGTATGACCCAGATCTTTGTTTCTGTGATTTGTATTTATTGTTATCAGTGACCGTGTTAAGTTAATTGATAAGATGCTATTGATAAGATAAGATTAGGGCTAATTGCTTAGGTTTTATGTTTTATTGTTTCGGTGTTATGTTTTATTGCTGATTTTTGTACAGCAAGAGCATTCGTCAACCGCGCCTTCACTCACTCATCATCAACCGAAAACCGTGATGCAGAATTGAAAAGGATCATGAATCACTCTACGTAAACAATGAATACTGCACAGCAGTGATAGAGGAAATAATTGAAATAATTTACAACAAACGAACAACTTAACAGCCCAAATCAAAATAATTTATTTATTTTAATCTTCATAACTTTGTTTTGCGAATTTAGGGTTGAACCCAGTTGAATCTTTAGAAACTGGGCTGTACAAATTTGATTGATTTATTGATTGAGAGTTAAAATTGGCCTCGGACAAACACAACTTTCGTAAGCGAAAAATGAAAGTATAATATAGATATAAATAAATTTTTATAGGCTAATTTAATCGGGATCTTATTATCCAGGTCAACCTAGCAACTGAGTAGTTGGTTGTCTTGGCCCCGAAAACTTTGCAAGATATTGGTTGACATGAATTCAAGAATGAGAGAGCAACTATTAAATTTCTTCAACTAGCTAATGAGTTGTCCGATGTGTTCAACTCTGATGAGTTTTATTTGGTGCGCATGTAGAATGAATGGTTCATGTGCGGATGTTGGATGGTTTGGCGAGCTTGTTACATGGATTGGTCTGTATGCATGCTGGTAGAATGTATGAATTGGTTTTATGTGAATGTTAATAAAGTATTGCTCTAGTATAAAAAGTCTATTTGAGAATGAATGGTTGCTCAGGTGAATTAGTATTAAGTGTTTTGGACAATTGTTTTGTTTAGTTTTAGAGTTTTGGATTTTTTGAATTTTCGAGTTTAGCAGTTGATAAGTCGGTCAGTTGGTGAGTTAGTCCGGTTCCGGTGTGTTTGGTTTTCGTAATTGGTGATATTCGAACATTGTTCTGCGAGTTTATTTTTCTGAATTTCTTCACTGCTGTCCTGTTGCTGCTTTGAATTGATTTTAGAATATTCAGTTTTAGTTTAGGTTATTATTTAGTTTGGAACGTTTCGAAAATATTTATTTTGCAGTGTCGTAAGTTTATTTGCTTTCTTGTTTGCTAATAAATTCATTCCAGTTAGCTTTTCTTTGTCGTGTTCAACATATAAAAGATGTATGAAAAAGACTTGTCAGCGGTTAGTAAGGCCGGATTGACCGACTGGCAAACAGGGCGCGAAAACACTTCCGCCCGACCCGTGTTTTTGGACCCGGAAATAAACATTTGTGAAGAGGGGAGTCTCGGTCAAAAGCGAGACTACCTAGGCTGGCGGCGGCGTTTGCTGGATTTCGAACAGAGAAAGGTTTCCGCGCAGCGACAAAAATTCACGCTAGAGGTGGAGGCAAAAAAGCCATCAACATGGAAAATGCTAGCAGTATAATATTGATTATATGCCCTACCGATGTTATACAAAATATAGTGATATAAAATGCATGAAAACGCGATTTGTTCGATTTAATATATCAAATATATTTAAAATTGATATTTAATATTGCTAAATGCGTACCGTTCAATGGCGGTACAAGTTTGACGGAAGTGAGCCAATACTTTGAAAATGTTTAAGTAATTTTTACATTTTGATGACAGAGAGGGACAAATTTTTCGTAGTGTGGCGACTTTATTTTGCTTATTATGTCAATCTTTCAATCTTTGTTTGATAAAAATAAAGACATGTTTATTGTAATAGTGGACGGTAGATTATTTCATATAACAAGAAGATGAAATTTTATAATGTTATTAATTAAGGAAATTAACACAATATTTAATAACTTAAATAACTTAAATAACATTAAGGTCAACATCCAATTTGGGCTTTATTTGCAATATTGTGTCCTTAGTGAACTTCTCAGAGGTTATCCTAAAACACCAAAAATTTGTACTTACATGCTTTCTTTCAAAATCATCTGGAGTTGTTTTCCAACTCCGTAAGGAGAAATGATCAGTCAACCTTACTCAGTTTCATCGTATACGTTTATTTCATTTAATTTATTTATTACAATTTATTATTTATTAAAAATTCTCTTTTGAGAGTTTATCAACTACAATTGCATAAAATTGGCGGTGATCTCCTTGCAATCTCTAATAATTTTTTTTCACTAGTCAACTGTATGCTGGTGATTCTTATATTTATCTAATCTCTCCATCTAATCTCAATAGTGTTCTTCATAATTTTTTTAAGTCTTTCTTCAATTATGGTTTGTTCTGACTCTATGTGTCTTAAACTTAATCATTCTAAATTTGAATTAATTAGTTTCAATAAATCTATACATTCTATTAAATTCCTTCTACTATCTTACCTGATTCTAAAATTTTTGGTGTTTCTCACATGTTTCGTAGTCTAGGCTTTATCTTTGATTCTACCATTTCTTTTTTTTCCCAGATTAATAGTTTGCCAGAAATTCTTACTTTCATCTACGTAAATAAAAAAACATTTGCTTTTTCTTGACGATCCTACTATTCTCCTTTTTGTTACTTTTTTAGTTTTATCTAGGATTGATTGATTATTGTCCCTACTGTGGTCTTCCTGATTTTACACTCTATTCTTTAATTAAAGTTTTTAACTCTGATGCTCGTCTAGCCGCTCGTGCCCCTTTCTTTTCTCTTATATCTTGTTCTCTTGCACTGGTTACCTATAAGATATAAAATAATTTTTTAAGTTTGTACATTTATGTATATGTCTCAATCTAAATTATTTCCAAAGTACTTACCAGATATATTAATTAAACCTAAACGCCGCGGTTTACGATCGTCTTCTTGTTCTCAATTCTTCTTAACATGTGTTAAACACTCTTGATAAATCTGTTTTTGCTTTTTCTGGCAATTTTTTCTGGAACTTTTTACATCTTCTCCGTCACATACAAAGTTCAAAGCGGATCTCAAGACTAATCTAATTGCAAAATTGATTGAGGAGTGTTATTGAACATCTCTGAAATAGCGCTTTATACATTAATTGATTGATTGATTGATTGGCTGACTGACTTACTGACTGACCGACCAATTGAATGATTGATTGATTGATTAGTTGATTGAGTAAATAACTACAAGAACCGACAAGGCTCCGACTATGGACAAGCCTTTTTGTGGGAAGTTTGCTCATAACAAAAAAGTATTTAACTTAATGGACTAATCGAGAACATTTGTTAAATAAAATTAAAACATTTACAAAAATTTGAAACATGTAAGCAAATCTTGGTTTGTCAGTTAGAGGTGCATACTAAAAAACAGAAAAAAATATCAACGATGAAAATAACATTTAAAAAATTATTGATAAAAATTATTTCACCCTATCACAAATTACATCACAATCTAAAAAACATCATCAAAGGAACAACGTCAACTCAATAAAAATTAGTCAGCAAAAGAACAAACACAACAAGACATCAAATGAAAGAACAAAAGAACGTCTCACAAAGAGCCAACTTCAAAGAACTTGAAACTCCAGTCATCAAACAAATAAAAACTATTTCTCAATCAAAAAGCTTTTATTAAAAGATCAAACATCCTTTTCAACCTTTGTGGGGTTCTCTATTCACGACCAATAAAGGAACCTGACCGACGTAATTATACTTACGAACTTAATTATTAAAAGTTGTTAATGGAGAACTCTTTCATCTAATAGAAGCCATTATCGTTGTTGAGATTTACCTTGATGTGTGTAGATTGTTGACGTTGTTGTCCTAATTGGTGTTGAGTTTAATTGGGTGGGTAGCTCCAATTATGCTGAGTTAATTGGGTCGGCGAGGATATATAAGCAAACGTCTAAATCTATAAAATAAATCGATATCCGAAATATAAAAAAGGTATATTAAATTACAAAGAAAAAATATTATCGGATATCCATTGATTTAAATTTGTGTTCTTCTTCTGTTTACAATCTCAGAAAATTTTCGTGTATTTTTGTCTTTGTTCCTCCTGTTACTGAACCATTTTGTGACTTGGGATTGGGAGATCCCACACTGACTGGCCAGAGATTCTCTCGTTTCTCGATCCGGATACGGAAAGGTTATGTGACTCTGGTAATATTGTTCAAGTATAGCTGTTCTCTCGTTAGACAGATATACACGATTTTGTCCATATTGGGACGTTTTGTTTTCTTGAGAGATATCGACACTTGTAATTGATGTCGTGGTTGACGTGGTCGGTGTGGTTGTAGTAGCGTAAGCTGTTGTCAGCTGTTGGTTGGGTTGGAGAGGAGTGGCTGTATGTTGATTTAGTATGGGACAATGCGTCCGTTGTCGGATTGACGTGAAATAAAAAGGTGATTGTTGATTTGGGGTGAAATAAAAAGTTGATAATGATTTGATTTGATATGTTGATTGCTGATTAGGTGTGCTATAAAACGTTGATGATTGGATTGTTGTAGGGTTAGAAGACAACGAAGACAGTTGTTTGTGTGTATATGGTTGTATAGGCGTAGAATACAAAGATGTCTGAATATTTGTAGCTGGTTGGAGTGGCGTTGATTGATAAAAAGTGGGTTGGACAGTCGTGGAAAAAATGGTTTGTTGATTGTTTGGTGTCGGATGAGTAGGAGTTGTTAATAGATTGGCTGTTGTGGAAGCAGTAGTTGATAGTTTGATGGGTGTGAGGGTACATGCAAATGGCTCGGCCGGAGTGGAACAAGTAGTTGTAGGTTGTTTGATTGGTGTGGAATGAATGGGTAGCTGGGTAGGTGTAGAAGGATTAATAATGTTTAAATTGTCCTGGTTTTTAAAATTTGGTCTGCCGTCACCAAAATTGAGATCAGTTGTTCTTTTGCTAGTACTTTGATGAGCATTCAAGTCTCGATCGTTGTTCTCGTGATTTGTGCCGGTAAGTTCATCTGAAAGAATTTGCTCAAAACTTTCATTTCTGTCGGGACCATATATATAATTATCCAAACCTAAAATATCGATGGAATCGTTCAACTCGGTATCGATATTAAAACTCAAATCACAAGTGTTGTTACCGTTGTTGTTTAACTCCATTGTTGAATTTAAAATATTAGTCGGTAGGGATGGAAAAAGTGGTTTGATGTTTGTTGGGTGTTGGATGAGTAGTTGTTGATAGTTTATTGGCTGTTGTGAAAGCGGTAGATGAATTTGGGTTGTCCAATGTTGTTTAATCAAAAATCTTTTGAAATTAAATTAATGTTGCTGACAGATTTAAAAATTGCAAGTTGATGTTGCTCGCTCGTGTAGTTGTAGTGGAATGAACTCCGTCTCCAATATAGGTCTGTTGCTGTAATTATTGATCAACCTAATAATAATTTGATGATTAGATGAAAGTGATCCAATCGATAATTAGTTACAAAGTTAAGTTAGTTTAGTTAGGGTGATAAAAATTACATTGATAATTTGATAACAATAAAAGTTATAATGAAAGTACTAACTTTTTAATTTGAATGGTTAGATGAAAGTGATCCAAATGATAATTAGTTACAAAGTTTAGTTAATTAAAAAGTGATAAAAATTACACCGATAATTATGATGACAATAAAGTTATAATGCATGTTGCTGACATTTAAAAATTGCAAGTTGATGTTGCTCGCTCGCTAAAGACACTATGTGTGCTACACTCACTACTATAAGTACATAGTAGTGAGTGTAGCACACATAGTAATGAGTAATGAGTGTAGCACACATAGTAATGAGTTACACTCACTACTATGTAGTGAGTGTAACTCATTACACACATAGCACACATAGTAATGAGTGTAGCACACTATGTGTAGTGTAGTAGAACACACACTTAAGTGAGCTATCAGGTACTGAACACACACTTAAGTGAGCTATCAGGTACCGT